TATTCATTTCCTGTTTCGACTTCCAAGAAAATCTGCTGCGAAGCACTTTCTATCGTTTGTAACTTCAAAACACGATTTCTTAGAATTGATCTCATGACTAACATTTCTTAGAATTAAAGGACGATACAAAGGAAGAAAATAGATTGCAAAGTACAGGCTTTTAATTCCATACGCTTAATAGCAAGATCAATGCCTCGTAACCGAAGAACTAAGAAAGCAAAAACCAAAGACACACTGGAGTTCACCGTCTACATATACGAGTCAGAGTACCGACAGATACAAGCTTGGGTTGATAAACACCAAAACCTTGAAACTGGAGGAGACTTGTTTGGCTTATGGACAGACGACCACACTGCAGTTGTGCAGCTCGYACTCGGGCCAGGGAAACACTGTAGACGAACATCAGCTTCCTTCTACCAAGATGTTAAGTACCTTGATCGAGTGGGTAACCTCTTGACTAACGAAGAAGGGTTGTGTCATATTGGAGAATGGCACTCTCATCACAAACTCGCTTTAAAGGAGCCAAGTGGAGGAGACGAGAATACAGTCTGGACCAACATGGATAGATATGGTATCTACCGATTTCTCCTCTTTATTGCCACCATTGATGGAAGTTGGTGGTACAAAGAGTCGACACCAGATGATGTAAGCGTAAGAGGCTTTCTTTTTAAGACCACTGACGAGAAAGATCGGCTCCTTTCGGGATGCAAATTTATTCTTTTGCCAGAAAAAAGTCCTTTCCGATCAAAATACATTGATGAAATCACAGAAGGAGCTGAGAGTGTAAATGAGGAGCAAGAGATTCAAAAAGCTTATGTTCCAGTCCATAAGTACAAAAACAAGGGACAAAAGCATGCTTACCAAGCCTTGGAAGTGGAAGAACCGGAAAACCAGGAACCAGAAGGCAAGAAACGAAGCCTCGAGCAGTCTTATTTTAGAAGATGCTTCAATCTTATTTTTCACGTTTGCTTCCCTTATATGTGGCTTTGTTGCAAAAGATTATGCAATGCGCTAGGTCGTTGCTTTTGCAGGTGCATGTGTTTTTGGAATGACAAGGAAATGGAAGACACCAATGCAACTGAACCAGCAAACTCTAGCTGGAAAATTTTCTTCCGGGATCTCATTCATTGTTTCTGTCCAATATGTTGGTTTTCTTCAAAATCTCATTGAACCATTGGTCTACTGCTCTGAACTACTTCAACAAGCATGAACTAATATGCTTATCTGATCGACTGAAGCCTGATAGAATTAGTAGATCTGATATTTGCATATTTACACTCCAATATCGTCCATTTGTACTATGTTGTTGATCTAAGAAGAAACCTTGCACTAAGTGCTAACTGTTGAAATATAACTGTTATGTTATTATTGATACCTGTAATGGTATAGAATTGATCTTATTTGTATGTAATTTCTTGTAAATATACAGCATGACTAAGTCATGTTTAGTTTTCTTACGATCATTGTCCAGAAAACCCTGCATTTATCCGTTGTTTAAAGTATCTACTTGTACATTTCTGTCAAACGAAACAAAAATACGCAAAGTAAATGAGCCGGAGAATTGTAGCATCACTTTTATTCTTATTGCTTTAAACGATTCGACAACTTCGAAAGAATTTTTAATCAGTAAATTTTTGATTTACAGCTGGGATATTCTTGAAACTTTTGAGCAGCAATTATTTGATTTTTTTCGGTATTTATAAATTTGCTCTTTTAAGATATCAAAATATCAAAATATCAAAATATCAAAATATCAAAATATCAAAATATCAAAATATCAAAATATCAAAATATCAAAATATCAAAATATCAAAATATCAAAATATCAAAATATCAAAATATCAAAATATCAAAATATCAAAATATCAAAATATCAAAATATCATTTAGGGGCGTTTTATTAACTAGTGCGCATGACTACATTTCCAAGAAATACAACTTTCAAATAAAACCCTTACGCGGAACAAGATAAGCAATTAATGTCACCAACATGTCGTGGACACCAGTTCAACAGAGAAGACTTGGGTTGGAAAAAAACATCCTACAAGACAAGTTCCCAGGTAAAGTGACTTGGACCGATCCAACGTCGCGGGGCAAAACACAAGTGGAAGTGGCCATGAATACGAAYAACGAAAAACCCTACAAGCTGCGAATCTATGTTCCTGAAGATTATCCAAATTTCTGCCCAGATATGGTAGTGAGCTATCCTAACCACCAACTGAAAAGACRTGATGGAAGAAGCCTCCTTAATTACGATGACCACGTTTTGGATGCAAGGGATAATCTTACAAAGATTTGTCATTTTAGACCGAATAAATGGACGTCTGACAACACCTTGTATYAAGTGTTTATGAAGGGAAGGTTATGGCTGGAAGCTTACGAACTTCACCTAACAACTGGCAAACTAATGGAGAGTCTCTTAAGAGAAATGCCTGTAAAGTAGTCACTGCATCACTATCAATGACATAAAGCTCTTCAAGATTAATTAGAAGTAGACATGTACCATGCAGTTATTTACTCCACGTCATCTGGCCTTTAATATTAGACAAGCACTGAAGTAAGCTGGCWACTTGGTCGTGCCGGAATGTATATGCATTATATCAAGATAAAAGATAGTGTACTTGCAGCAGAATCATTGATAATTAACTGTGCTAACATAAAAGACAGCAGTAAACGAACCTAATACATAATCTAGGTCACCTATCATGATTTGTTCGATGCGACATTCAATTCTCTGAGGCAACTCATTTTATATTTCTATATATTCTCATGATGATTACTAGATTTCTCTTCTAATGTCACTTCATGGCAATTTTGTTTTTCATTTGCGTACTGAATAAAAACATATGTATAATTTACTGAAATACTCTTTTAACATAAATCAACAAGGACAGGCAGGGAAATTTCCCCAGACTCGAAATATGCATACAAATTTCCTTATAATTCTAGGAAACCTTGCCACTTAAGAAACAAAAATCGGGGATTCCCCTAAAAGATAATAAGTTCTTGGAAATAAGGACACTGGCGCATGCGTATTGATCGGTTTGACAAATTCTAAGAAGCCATAATATGCTTCATGATATTTGAAGACCTGCATCGTTTGGAATCGCCTGAAAATATAACATTAGAAAACCCTCCCTGAAAAAAAGCAAGGTTGTATCAAGCAGTAAGTGAGACGTACTAAAGAAAGGATGAACAGACAGCCTTATAGAACTCCTGGAGTCACTGAAGGTAGAGGAGGACGACCTTTTA